AACATAAAAACACAGGACTACTCAGCTAAATTTGCAAGGTACATGTTTATACTAGAAAATTATTCGCTGTTTACCTGAAATTCAAATTTAACGGGATGTCCTATGTTTTCTATTCGGGTGAGTGTCTCTATAAATAGCCCTGCTCTGATAAGACATATCAAGTAAAGAGCTGGGAATTCAAATTCAACGATGCCGAGAAAAAAGAGAAAAATGACTTCCAGTGAACTACAAAAAAGAAAGGCTTGAAATTAACGGATTATATGAATATTAAGTCTTACAGTATATTAAACCATAAAGCTGGTTGGTAGATGACACTAAATTAACTTTATACTGCTCACCATTTCCTGTGGCACAGAATTGAAGAACCAAAGCATACCTGGTACAATACTTTACATATGATGTATGTTTAATAAATATCTCTTCATTGATGATCCAGATGACAGGCCAAGCCTGCTCATTTTACATTTAAAAAATCTGAATAGTTTGAACACTGGCAGGAAAACAGCTGGCTTGCTGAGTAAATAAAGTATTTAAAGTCAAAGTATTCTATAAAGAAAATAATTTGCACCAAGAAAGCTACCGTGGGGTTCATTAACCTATACAATATAGTTTTTATTCATCAAGGCTCTATCCTTGACAAATGCTTACTGGACATCCCAAGAAACAATGAATTTTTTTGTTGTTGTTGTTAAAAAGGAGTTTTAGCAAGTGGTCTTCGTCAGAAGTAAAAATTACTGAGCTAGCCAAGGAAAAAAATTCTAAATAAATTACTTTTCTAAAATCTGCCCACCTCTTTTATCAAATCAAACATATCCCATCATGTTTTTTTTTAAACAGTAATTTTCCAGTTGGCCTGGATTATCATTAAATGTTTCTGAAAATCATTTAGAATATAGTTTACTTTTTAACACTTGTACTACTTTATTCATCTTACTGGTTTCGAAATAAAGTCATCATCTAGACTATAGACATTAAAACTAATTTGCAAACAACAAATAATAAAAATGGTTTAGTACAGTAGCCCTCGCCCTTTACACCCCACCTCCAGTTTATCCCAAAGGCAAGAGAGTCCGATTAGTTATACTTCTCACTGGAAGCAGGGTCCTCAGAGGAGAATGATGAGTAGCTACAAAGTACACTTCCTCCCACCCCTTCACAACTCAGTATACTAGTAAGATTTGCTAATTTGTAGGCTATGTAAAATCTTTGGCTGAAGCTTCAATTCTCTGAACAGTAGAATTACTACCCTAGTATGGTGGGAAAGGGTCAAAATGCCACCTACTGAATTTCTACTGACACAAACATTTATGTCACCAGTAAAGAAGCCCATTACTGCTCTTACGCTGATACCTTATTTTGGCAATGTTGAACCAAGAAAAATTAAACTTGCAGGAAATGTGTTTTTTTTTAATGTTTTCAAGACTCACTCTGATAATTTTAGGCAAATGAAGGAAAAGCATAGAAAAGACAATGCAAACAGAGGAAGGAAAAAAATACAGTTGTTAAGTGAATTAAGTGGCAGTATGCTGGAGTCCTTCAACTGAAGACTGTGAAATATGACAAAATTAGAAACTCCAGGTTATTATACACTGTTGGTATGGACATCCTATATCCCCAAAGAGCTTGTTTTAAATAATGTTAAATTCAATAAAGCCCTGCTTTCAAAGTGCAGGAGCTGAAATTCCTTAATGGGGAAAAAGAGCAGGAAATCCTTTATTAATTCAGTGGGAAATACCTACTGGTAATCAAGGAGTCATTTTTGGGTTCCCCCCTCTTTATCTCAATGGTGCTAAGATTTCAAGGAAGTAATTTGTGAACAGCACCAAGGCCCAGTGAGTAATTGCAAAATTCAGGTGTTACAGTATGATGAATTAATTACTCCTTTTCACTTTTCAAAACATCTTAAGATTTTTGTAAAGCAACTAATGTCAACAGTTCAAGCAGATTTAAGAAGCAATCTATAAAGCTATGAAGTGACTGTGTGAGACTGTGTGTGTATGAATAAATATATAATAACCCACGAAATCCTACATCTTAGGAAGAAACTGAAGATGCTGATAACAAAGAAGATATAGTAAGACATTAATTCAAAAGAGGCCAACAAATTTCTAAAAATTCATCGTTTTGTAGAGAAACCCTGATTTGGGCATTTAGTTATTTTTAACGGCAAATATTAATTTTTTTATGGTACAATTACACGCGGAGTGTGTTCAGGGCTATGATGAAATGATGCCATGAGATGTATTTTGGTAGGCTTGCTGTTCCATCTACTTTCACAGAAAAATCACATAGTAGAAAAAACAAGTCACTTTCTCCTTGTCCCACACATAGGATATTGTACTGAGTAAGGCAGCCAGGAAGACTGCTGTATCTCACAGCTCTGAGCAGAAATAACTGGAGACACGATTTCAGGGTTTTCTGTGCAGGGGGAGAGAGTGAAGCAATTAGTTGAAATGCTAAGGGCAAAAAGAGTGGGTGCTCTCATCCCACTGCCAACTCAAAAGCTAGGAGCCAGACCCTCTCTGTCATATTTGTCCTACTGAATGGGGGAAGAGTGAGATCTGTATATCGGCGTGTACATATTTTGAGTTGTATACAGATATGTCTCCCTTGCGGGGGAAAAGAGGTCAAGGTGATAGTAGTGGTGAGGAAAAGTTAGATCTGAGAAACTTCACAATTAATATACCAGAAACACAGAATTTCTAATGACACGGTAGGAAAGGCCGAGTCTGATGTAACAGAAATACCTCATTCAAGTTTAGGGAAAAACCACATCCCTCAGAAAATCTTAGAAACAACCACTGGCTGGGGATAATTTATGTTGTTCAAGAAGGAAGAAATATTGCTTTTTCCCCCCATTACACTACTAATGTAATATGCACGTGGAAGTTAGACAGATAAAATAAACTGGTGACACAGTAAACTTTTATACTCACAAGGCTACCACAGTAGACAGATGATGGTAACACAAGATGGCTTTGGAAAAAATGAGAGGGAATGAATGAAAAGTCCTTTGTTTAATGACTGGACCCTCCCCACCCCCTTATTGCTCATGTGTTGTCCAGTTTGTTGCTTTTAACATGTATAATTTATTTTAAAGGCTTCATATAGTTTATCGTCAATGCTCACAATAATCTTACAAGGTGGATGTCATTAACCCTCTTATTACAGTTAAGAAAGCTCAGATGCAGAGGTGCTGAGCGACATGTCATCAAAGTTGTAGAGCCAGAATTTGGCCCCGCACTGCCTCCAGGATCCTTGATGGGCTTGGGACATAAGCTGTTATCTGGCAGAGCCAATACTTACTGAGGGAAAGAAGGATACTTGGGAAGTGTTATAAACTGAATTGTGTTCCCCCTCCCCCAAATTCATCTGTTGAAGCCTTCATCCCCAGTCCTTCAGAATGTGACTGTATTTGGAGAGAGGGCCTTTCTTCAAGAGGTGATTAGATTAAAATGAGGCCCTTAGGGTGGCCCCCTCATCCAATCTGACTAAGAAGAGGAATCTGGGTGCACAGAGACACCAGGGGTGTGCCTCACAGAGCAAAGATCATGTGAGGACACAGCGAGACGGCAGCCATCTGCAAGCCAGTAAGACAGGCCTCAGAATGACACCGCCCTGATATGGGACTTCCGGCCCTTCAGAACCATGAGAAAATAAATTTCTGATGTTTAAGCTGCCCAGTCGGTGGCATTTTGTTATGGCAGCCCGAGCAAACTCATGCAGGAAGGGAGAAAAAGTCATCGAACGCAGTCACTTGCACAGACCACAAAAGCAACAGCAGCTCAAGTGTGGTTCAAAACTGGACTGAGAGTTGTTACAGATTTTGGTCTTGTTAATAAAGCAGGAACAAGTTCCATCCCTGGAGGCACTGGAGGATTGTGGCTCTGTGTCTCAGGCACACGCCTTCCAGTGTGCTCCCCCCATACTACTCGATACACCTCTTCTCTCTCCCTCACAGAAACACGGCTGAAATGGCCCCATAACACCAACCTACGTGCCCCAACAAGCAAGACACATGATAAATTAAATGCATCTCAAGGCATGGTCCGGTGTCGTTCCCTCAGATCTTGCTAGAATAACACGACATTTAAAAAAATACAACCCACTGGATATTTGGCACTGCTTGGGAATGAAGAATATGTCCACTTAAGAGCCACTCCCCCAGGCTGTCAAAAAAATCTCAAGCCAGGATTTCTTCTATAAACATTACCTATCCTTTAAAATTATACAGCCTAGGAAGTGAAGAAAACTAACGTAAAGTCCCTGCTTATTTGCAAGTCTCCTTTCGCCTCAACGTCAAAAACATAAACCAGACAGAAGAACACGTTAAATGCTCAGTGAAGGCCCACGGATGGGACAGCTCTGTGCATCTGGCAAAGAGCCTCCACCCTTCCCGCCTCGGCCCCCGGTCACCCTCGCCCCGAACACACACCTATGCAGAGCTCACCCTCCACCAGGGCCAGCCTCCTCCAATCCCCGGGCACGCTGAAAGACGGTATTTACGGATTATTTTTTTTCAGATACCAGCCAAATAATGTTCCCGTTCACTCTCTCACCCACCTTAGACCATACAGAATTTAACATCTGGGAGGATAAACTCTGCCCCGAACGCAGATGACAAGGCTGAGCAGTCATGGAGGAGTTCTCCTCAAGCAAAGAGGACTTGCCAGCTCCCCTCTGAGGTCCAGGCCCTGAAAGGCCAACTGTGGTATGTTTGAGTTTCCATCGGGCCTGGTGCTTGCTGGCTGCTGCTATGTTCACTCAGAACCCAACTGTCCTATAAACATCTCGCCCTGCTGCTGAGAGCTGCCCGCCTGGCCTTACTTCTTGGAGCCGAGAATATGCAATTTGGGAGCTGCAGGCTGCACGGGAACTAACACTTGGAGCACAGCTGACCCCTCTCTTCTCTAGGCCAGTGACAGCTCTAAAAAAAAAAAATTAAGGCACGCTCACACGAACATAACAAGAACGGGAAGAAAAGTCCAGATTTTCCTCACCATGTGCCACCCAGCCATGTTTACACTGATCGCAAGTCCTCAGGTTAATCTTCCCCGGCTGGAAACATTCACACGTGCAGTTCACCAGTGTGCAGCGGATGGCCTGCAAAGGAGAGGAGGAAAAGAGATCAGCATCTGTTCAAAGGTACCATATTTCTTCACCATTTTAATAATAACACCCACTTCCCATTTTTAACGGCTTTAGGGGCCCGGAGAGTTTTAAAAATAAATTTTGAAACCATCAAAATCTCTTACCAAAACATATTAGAAAACAACACTGATTCACTAATAGAATGTTTCACGCCATTCATAGGTGAGCTTTAAATGAGAAGCATAGCCCGAGTAGTATAAGAGTAAAGGATTACATACTATACAAGATGCTGGATCTGAAACACCAGGGACCCGAAAGAGAAAAAAATATTGTTGCTACCAAACAGGCACATTTAAGTTCATCCACCTGGCAACAGTGCAAAAAAATACACTCTCATACAATAATGTTCAAACGAAATGTTGTTCCGAGGAAAACATGATATACAAGTAATATTATTAGAATATTACTTTTCTTCTGCAGTGTTTCGTTTAAATGTTTTATTAATCTTTCAGACACATTTTGAGAGATATTCCTGTTGGCCCAATAACACCTGGCATATTTCTGGCATCATTTGTCACTTCCCAATTCCTTGTTTGTTTCCCCCTTGATATATCAAGTCCATTTTCATTCCTATTTTGAAAAATGCAAAACAACCCCCATTTTTTTTTTAATGATGATGTAAGAGATTAAGTTTACATTTGTTTTTAGATCAGATGTAGAACAGGAAAAGACATTTATGTGAATATTTGATACTTGGAACAACTCACCTATATCTTAGAAAACTGAAAGACACACTCACAAACCTTTCATTTCTTTACAAGCACTTTAAAAAATCATCTCCCCGGTTTACATTATAAAGCGAATCCACAGAAAATTAGCATTAATGAAGTGTAACTTTTGATAGATTAAGAACCTATGCTTGAGAACAGTGCTAAAGCCAACCTATGCTCCTAGACTACAGTTAATAAATTTATCTCATACATTTAGTTCTAACTTGCATGGCAGTTCTGAAGACAGAAGGGATTTAGTCCGATCATTCAGATTAACCATCTACTGTAACTACCTGAACTGCCAGGAAAAGACCTCTCTACAGCTGTAGATGCAATCAATAATTACTGATTTGGGGGGTGGGGTGGGGGAGAGGTACAGGGCTACCTGAAACTGCAGTGCTGGGCCTGAAAGCTACTCTCACTTACACAGCTCCAGACGTTCATGTTCCTGGAACCAGCTGGATTTTTATATAAACTGTCTCATTTGTAACAGACAGTATTTTAGACATTGTTAACGTGGTTGGGACAAACTCCATTTACAGAGAGTAAGACTGAATGGGCTTTGACTGCTCCCCATGCTTTAGATCAGGCAAGTTTAAAATATTTCTCTTTTGTTAATGAACATCAAATCTATAGGTCCCTGTTCAGTTTCCAATAGAGTCCTTGCCTAGACTCCTCTCTTGCTTCACCTCCAACCCTAGTTTGCTCCTCTATTACGGTAAGAAAAACACTCAGGTGTATCATCTGCCTGATATTTCAGGGCCTTTCTTCCAATGTCAATAGTCCAATTACATATTATTAGGTTGTAAAACTTTGCTGTATGTATTAGTGATGAAAGGAAATAGTAGTAAGAAATAGGGGCAGCAAAGGAAATGCTGACTACGCAAGAATAATATATGTAGTTGAAGGTTAGAAGGGGAAATGTTTCTCCCCAAATTTCTTGTGTCAACTTCAATAGTTTAACTGACTGAGCAATACGTCAGAACATTCCAGGTTAGAAAGAGCTTCTTTAAATGGCGTGTTCATTAATGAACTCACAATTTGATTGTACTATGGTAACAGAAAACAAAACAACAACAGTTTAGAGGGCAGTGTTTCTACTAAAAACAAGGCACCTTACAAACTATCCAATTATAAATTCAGATGCAGCAACCACATTGACATTAAAATATTTATATAATCTGAAGTGCGATAACAGAATCTTTCATAAACACTAAGGAAAAAAAAGTCGCCTCTGCTTTACCAAACTAAGGAATGATCAAAACTAACAATGACTATCTCTCAAGGACTACATGTTAACTCCAGCACGAAAAACATACATATTTTAAATCACTGATTTGATCATTTTGATTTGACAGTTATTTAACAAAAATAGCCTCACTTCACATTGTGTTTAAAACATACTTTCGTCGATTTTAATTATAGCTATATTCAGGACAAAACAAATTAAGAGACTGTAGATTTGCTTTATTTTAGGTATATTTATTTATTTACTGATTGAACTATTCATTCATTTACTGAGAACTAGTTTATGATTCAAATATTTTTCTCTTCCTAAATAACTTTATACATCTGGCACATTTGGGAATTAAACTTTTCAGATCATCATCCTTTTCCTTTTTCATAATTTTACCCTTTTTGTACCTAAACATACAAACATTGGAACACCCCAGCTCCTTTTGTATATAAACACTTGAGCACTGGAATATCCATTTTGTATTTCTATGACTTCCAGAAGGTCTATTTGTTTTCAATTCAGATTTATATAGACTACAATTGTTCCTTAAGGGAATTATATATATTTAAACAATATGGTCTAAATAAATATTTTGAGTATGAGACTATTGTGGCTTCAAAGGAAGTTTTATTCTAAGTAACATTTTTGAAACGGCATAAAAGTTTGACGTACTATTTATTCACAACAAAACAGAACCAATGTGATCACTTGCCAACTCACCCACACTTCAAAAAAATAAATTATCATAAAACTATTAAAGCCAGTTAAGCCTCAAAAACGTACACACTTTACAAGGAGAGAGCTGGGAAGAGCAGAGATGGTGAAGCTTTCATTTTGGTGAGCACATCCATTTCTTCACGTAGCTAGTATATGAGTACTTCCCACCCACTGCCGGGCATTCATGACTACAGAAAATTCAGTGGCGATAACGAGGTGACAGAAAGGGGACACCAGGAAAAGAGAAGACAATTTGATCAGGATATTCCCACCTATAGATGCAGGACCCTTATGCAGGTCTGGCCAACTCAGGCTAGCAACCCCTCCACACCTCCAGGACCCCACTTCAGCAAGTGCCTGAAACTCTTTCCTCCATTTCAGTAGGATAAGCTTTTCCAACACCCCAAGAACAAGAACAAGTCTTCTTAAGCCTGCAACTTATTTAAAGTAATGATTCCTCTGCTTAGCTTTGCCATAGATTTCTTGAAAGAAAAATCCATGCACCCACCGCCCACTGCTTCCACCTACATTTTAATTGTGCAATCTGGATTCTGCCCCACACAGTCCTGAAACTGCTGTCTCCAAGAGGACTGTTCTCATCACATCTGGTCCCCTTTTCTAGCCTCCTTGTTCTCCTAGACCCCGAGGGAACCTAAGGCACTAACTCTCCTTCATTCCTGGGCTCTAGAGACCAACTACCCTAGTTTATTGGCAGCAGCTTCTCACTCTCTCTCCACTGTAAATAAATACAGGTGTTTCCCACCACCGGGCTCTTCGTTCTTAGGCAATTTCATCCCCTCCTACAGCTTCAGATATCATCACTACGCAAAGCCCATCACTGTGGAGCCAAGTACTGTGTTAAGTGGCAGAAATGGATGGCAGAGTCCCTGTGCTCAAGGATTTGACAGTCAGAGCTCATGGGCAGTGGGTTCAGAGGAGAGACCCTAAGAACAGAAGGAAGCCCTTGAACAGGTTTGGGAAGCACCATTTCTCCCTCTTTATGCCTTGGTCTTTTCTTCTACCAAAGGTAGGATTTAAACATTTATCTACAACAGTAAACTATTACCTATTATCAATAATAGCTAGATTTACTGGATATGTGCCATTTTCCAGATACTGTGCTTAACACTTTACAAACATTAGCTCTCCCTCAGAAAATACCACGAGGTCAGTACTGTTATTCCCTTTATTTCACAAAGGAGGAAACTGAGATGCAGCTAATTCAGGACCTTGCCCTGAAGTCACAGGAATCCGATTCCAGGTCTGTGTGAGCTCTCCACCCACTCGCAGGCAGCCATGGGGCAGAGCCCCTCCGTCTGCCCCCCCCCCCCACTGTGTATTGTTAACTCCTGATCATCTTTCAAGCTTTCAACTCAAATATTACTTCCATTCCCCAGGGCAGCTGCCCCCAAGGGATCTTTCTGTCACAGCACTTATCACAGTTGTGAATATTATATTTATCTATACTTATTCATTTTATATATATATATATATATATACACACACACACACACACCCCTATATCTGTGTGACTATTTGATTAAAGTCTGCCTTCCCCTGTAGAATTTAAGCTCCTTGAAGGCAGAGTGACATATTGTTGGGCTTACAGTGTAAATATAATGGCAAATAATAGGTGCTTAAAAGGCACTTAAAGAATGCATGAGGGCTTCCCTGGTGGCGCAGTGGTTCAGAGTCCGCCTGCCGATGCAGGGGACGCGGGTTTGTGCCCCGGTCCGGGAAGATCCCACATACCGCGGAGCGGCTGGGCCCGTGAGCCATGGCCGCTGAGCCTGCACGTCCCAAGCTCCGCAACGGGAGAGGCCACAGCAGTGAGAGGCCCGCGTACCGCAAAAAAAAAAAAAAAAAAAAAAAAAAGAAGAAAGAATGCATGAGTCTTCCGAGCCTCTTTCCCATCTGTAAAATGATGGTAACAATAACATCACAAGAGTGTCAAAAGACTCAAATGAAATAATGAATATAAAGCATGTGGCACTGTGTCTAGTGATAGCAAGAGCTCAAAAGATGGAAAACATTTATGACCTCAAGAAACTTTCCACATATTACATTTGAATTATTTTCTCCTTATGATTCCTCCCAATGTATTTTTTCCAACACTTTGTAAAATGCTTAACACATATTTAGTCTTAATGAATAAATGAACTTTGACATATATGATGCCATATTCTTCATACTATAATCCTCTGAATTGGGCACGACAGGGATTATTATTTCTGTTTTAATACTGGGGTTCAAAAATGTTTATTTAGGTGTTACACATCTCTTAAATG